AAAAAATTAAGATTAATATGCTTTAACATCTAATAATTATATTAATATATACTATTCTTTTCAAAATAATCATTTAATAATAATATAAATTTTCACCTAATAAAATATTAAAAGAATTATAACAACATTATTACTTTATAACAATACCAAATATAGGCGTAGGGTATGTTTAGAGCCTGTTTAGTGTGACTTGTGAGAGTTTTTGCTTTTTGAGTACTGTTATGAGTGATAAATTTAAATTTTTATTAGAGGAAAAATAGAGTTTTAGTTTTAAAAAAAGTAAAAAAGTGAATGAAAAGTAAGTAAAAAAAGAGTTTATGAAAAGTTTAGATTTAAAAATTTTAAACTTTTACTGTTTAAGAGTTTTTTAAAGTTAAAAAAATATTTTAAAGTGTAAGTTTTTAAGAGAAAAATTTAAATTCATGAAATATGAATAGTATTCAGAAGCTGAAACTCCTAGAAGCCACACCAAACAGGTAGTTGATGGGAAGTTCTTTTAAATTCCAAAAACTCCAATTGCACAAAATACTGTAATTTATAAAAAAATGCAATAATTTCTTATAAATTAGTCTTTTATTTATTTTATTGTAAATCTTAAAAATATCGAATTAATGTTTCTATAAGAACTTTTTATTTAAATTTTAATAAAATTGATACATAATTATTATATCTTTATTTTTTTTATTTATAAAAATAATATTTTTATAATAATTTCTTTCTAACAAAACTACTAATAAAAACTGCAGTTATACCAAACAGATATTTTTTTTTTGATAAAAGTAATTATTAATAGTTAAGTTAAGAATCTTTAACAATTAAAAATTCAATAATCAAAATAGATGATCTCTCCCTCCTCGTTGAGACGCGACCCACCGAGCCGCACGGTGGAGTTCCGACACTTGATCGATTACACAGAGGCAACGTCTGATAGTGGCATTTGCTCTGCATCCCATACCACACTTATTATTCTATTGTACCAAAGTTCTTTTTTTACTGTTTGGTGCGTGAACTCAATTTGTATGCATCCTCGATCAAAAGTTGTCTTTATACGTTCCTAATTCGGAATAAAGAGAAGAGTTAGCGGGCATATCTGCAAATACTCCATCCTCAAAATTCGAAAAAATAAAAAATGTGGGCATTATCGTGATTATCCCCCCACACCAAACCGCAAAAATCTGCAAACGTTGTCTTTAAGCAAGAGAAAAATAACGGACCGCCGCTCCTTTGCAGTTGCACCGTCCTCATTTGACACCCCCAATCCACTCCTTAATTACACTCGCTGCCATTCTCTTTCTCCACCCCTGATTTCGCTCTTCCTTCCTCTACTTCCTCCCTGCACCAATGCGGTTTCGCCGGAGCTGAGTTCTTTCTCGAGACGCGAAGTATTGGTCCGTGTTTGGGTTTCTCCAGCGTCGAGCTCGATTCAGATCCAATACTTGCTATTTATGGTCAAGGAGAAGGTCTTTGTGATATGTGTGGAGCAGTTGATGTTAGCGTTGTGAATGCGAAGCGACGATAACTCTAGGTTTTCAAAATCCTTTTGATCTCTGTGGATTTGAGCGATGAATCGAAGCTTTAGGGCTCAAGAGATGCAAATGCAAGCTGCGGCTTTGAAGCAGAGGCAACAGCTCAGGGCGTCGTTGATGAAGGAGAAGGAGGATGATTTGGCATTGTTCCTCGAGATGCGAAAGCGCGAGAAGGAGCAGAGTAATCTTTTCCTCAATAACTCTGAAGACTTTGACGCTCCATTAGGTGATGCATTTTTCTGATTTTCTTCGTTATTTTGTGCTAATTTATGTTCTTTTGATGTTTTGAATTAATGCAGCGTGCAATTTGTGATGTAAGGAGTTGTATTTGATGGTTCCATCTATCTAATTAGTGAAATTTGTTGCTAAAATGACATTTTTACTTGATTGTATGAGATTCTGAGGTTGGATTACATTTTAGTTTGGTAATTTGGATATTGCAGGTTCAAAACCTGGCACGTCGCCTATATTTAATATTTCATCTTCAACAACAACCACCCGAAAGACTGGTGCTGATGATTTCCTCAATTCCGATAATGATAAGAATGACTATGAGTGGTAATTTGGAAGCATATTTCCATACTTGATTTAATTTTAAGATTTTTATCCCAAATGTATAGTTTGCAGTCTTGATGTTGGACTTTGGAAACATCGGTCCATAGATCAAGACCATAGCTTTCAGAGAATTTTCTTCAACAGCTAGAAACCTAGGATTTGATTTAAACTGCAAAGAACTGAGAAATAGGAAGGGGAAAAAGGAAGTTTAATTAGTGATGTCATGTTAAGTGATGGAAGTTAATATGTTACTCAGCTGTGGTGGGTGCTCTAACATGTACACAGTACAGGAAGTGACTAGCTTCAACTACAGCATTTACAGTGTATTTATATACTTCGCTGATCAAGACTAAAAAAACTGTAGTGTATATGCTTCTGTGAGAGCTATCTTGTATCAAATGTGATAATTAACTTCGGAGGCACAATTGTATGCCACATGAACTTTTTCATGGGTTCTGTTAAAGCCGTTCTATTATCATTGTTGTGGGATAATGGATATGTCATAAGTGGATCATTAAATTAGATTTCCCTGTCTATTTTTCCTTTATTTTCTCTCATTTATGCTAGGAAGTAACTTGACCATCATAATGATATTGGTAGGAGTTTCTTCCATTTTCAGGCTTTTAACACCTCCTGGTACTCCTCTCTTTCCTTCTTTGGAGATGGAATCACAAAAAGCCATTATGAGTCAGATTGGCACTCCAAAGGCTCGCCCTACTGCCCTGAAATCTAGAGTAAGGAAATCTTCCTAATATTTTGAGCTGGATAATATGCCTAACTTTAAAAAGTTGATATCACTAAAATGCATGACAGAGTAAGTGGTAGAAAGATTTTAGGTGTTAGGAAGCAGTTAAATTTAATGTTTCACTTTTTCCATATGTAGCATATAACGGTATATTTTATGTAAAAATTAATAACAATAAAGCTCTATTGGGGATCAAGAACCAACATGCACGACTATGAAACTTGAACTCTTGAAAATTCTTTTATCTACGGACTTGCTGTTACAATGCAAAAGCAGTATATAGTAACTTGACAAAACTCCAATTCAAGTCATAATCTCTCAACATGTCTTTTTAGAGTATCAAAATCTAAAAGAGACGCTATTAAAATGTTATTGATGATCCTTATCAATATCTATGGTTGTTTATATGTTTATATTTTAGGACCTTTACGATTTAATGATGTTTGGATAAATGAACTCATTGCCAAGTTAATTTTGTCTGATGTTGTAGTTAGCAATTCCCCAGCCAGAGCCAGCTACAAGGAGTAACTTAGTATCAAAACAACCGACTCTGTCCACTGGGTTGAATTCTTCTGGTACAGGAACTCGAAGGCCCTCATCATCAGGGGGTCCAGGTTCAAGACCTTCAACACCTTCTGGGCGCCCAACACTGGCTGGAACATCTAAATCCTTGAGATCTTCAACACCTACTTCTAGGGCCACATTGCCATCAACCAAGCCGTTGGTTTCCACAAATAAGTCCATTGTTTCTACAACTAAGCCAGTAGCTACCACAACTCGGTCTGCAGCTACCATGGCTAAGCACATAGTTTCTGGAACCAAGCCTGTTTCACCTGCTTCATCTGCAACCAAGTCAACAGTTCCTACTAGATCCTCCACACCATCTAGGTCTACTGCTAGGTCGTCAACACCAACTGCAAGACCCTCTATACCTCCATCGAAGCCTGTGTCAAGGGCAGCTACGCCAACCCGTCGACCATCCACCCCATCTAGTGTTGCTAATCTATCAGCCCCTCCTGTTAAATCTTTACCTGCAGTGAGCAAGCCTAGTCCAGCTTTATCCAGAAATTCTGTTCCATCACGTGGTGCTTCTCCAACAGTGAAATCCCGACCATGGAAGCCTTCTGAGATGCCCGGTTTCTCCCTTGATGCTCCACCAAATTTAAGGACATCATTACCTCAAAGGCCACTTTCAGCCACTAGGGGTAGGCCTGGAGCACCAAGTTCTCGGTCTTCTTCTGTTGAGCCTGGCCCTCCTGGAAGAAGACGACAATCATGCTCTCCTTCAAGAGGACGAGCCCCGAATGGTGCTATGCATATCAGTGGCAGCTCTGTTCCTGCAGTCAGTCGTGGATACCCTAAGGTCAGTGACAATGTGAGCCCTGTTGTAATTGGAACTAAAATGGTTGAGAGGGTGATAAACATGCGGAAGCTGGCACCACCCAAACAAGATGACAAGCATTCTCCTCATGGTAATCTGTCTGGAAAGTCTTCTTCCCCAGATAGTTCAGGCTTTGGAAGAACACTATCAAAGAAATCATTGGATATGGCTATAAGGCATATGGTAAGTACCTGAATTTTTTGGTACTGTCTTTTAATTGCTTTGAGTTGGGTCATTAATATCAAAATATGGAGGCTATTTTCTTATCACATTATCCAATCCTTTTATTCATGTTGATATTGCTCCAAATGGTCCTGATTTGCCCCATTCATAGATGTTACCATCTGCTTATATTTACCTGATTTCAATTGGGAGAATATGGAACTTATTTATCAAAGATGATTTGCATAAATAAGTACCTTTTTTCTCAGTCTGGTTTTGAAGCTCACCGAGAAATTGAGAGATGACTGGAAGATTAAAAACCTTCATTAATTTAATTTTTATATTTTTCTTTCAATCTTGTCTTGAGCAGGATATAAGGAGAAGCATTCCTGGTAATTTGCGGCCATTGATGACAAATATTCCAGCATCCTCTATGTACAGTGTGAGATCAGGTCCTCAGCGAGGCAGAACCATTAGTGTTTCAGATTCTCCTCTTGCCACAAGCAGTAATGCTAGTTCCGAAGTCAGTGTCAATAACAATGGCCTTTGTTTAGAAGCTAGTGAAGTAGAAGATATTGTGAATGAGAAAGGCCGTCAGTCTCCTAGCGTGCGTGGCAGGTGATGGTCAGGCAATATATCTGCATTTTCCATGATTCAACATACATTATTGTTTTAAACCTGCACGGTTTGACAGTTGGAAGAGAAGATAGCCAATTTCCGAGAGGAAGCACCAGGGAGTCACCCCTATGATAATCAATGTAAAGCTAATGAGATAAGATTCTTTCCCTGTTATGTAATTGAAAATCTTTGTATCATTAGGAAAACCAGTTAGATCCTGAACATCTTCCCTTTTCATCTTCTACACGGTGAATTGTTGTGAAGTAGTTGAAAGTTTGAATGCTTGTCACCCAAAACAAGTGATCACATATCCCCAATTCCCTTTCCCTTGGGTTCTCCCCCAATTGGGTTGAATTTACTTCTGAGATATAAATTCACATCACTCTCTGCCTTCTTATGAATCTTATCTCCTCGTCTGGTCATATTCGTATCGGGTTCAAGCATGTGAGCAGCATGTTCTGATTCCAATTTGCTTAAGAATCCAAGAACTTGCAGTCCAGCTGTATTATTGTAACATCGATTGCAAGACTACTATGATAGAGAAAAACCATTCGTTTTTGTCACGATGAGGAGTGAAGAGAATCATTTCGTACCAAAGGGTGGTAAAAGCCAAACCCTCTGTGCAAGAGAATATTTTCCGAACGCACTGTACACTTTGAAATCGATTTACGACTCTCAAGTTTGGGGAGCAATAATTTCAATATGGAGAGCCATTATTAGAGGTCTGGTGTGGATAACTCAGAACCACGTTGTACTTTCCATCATTTGAAATCATGTCTTCTCCGCCTAGGGGTTGTCTAAACATCATCAATCCAAAGCGAGAAAACAAAACAATAGGATGAGGTTCTGGACTTCAGTTTTTTTCATATTGGCTTTCCGCTTGCGCATGATTTACGAGAATTTGTTTTTTTTTTTTTTTTTTTTTTCATTTATCTAACAATAAAATATATAATAAGAGATAATTATTCTATTATGAAACTCTTCACTCATTCATCACAATATTTAAACTTCAGACTAATAATATAAGTTAAAGATTTAAGTCCCTAACCATTAACATCATTTTGGAGGACAAAATTTGCTCCTCATTGCCTTGCCCTAGAACTGAAGTAGCTTTTGAGAATTTTTTTTTTTTTTTTATGGGCATGATCGACTTGGCATGGCACGAGGCTTTTGAATCCTTAAAGTGGATGAGAAGAATTGTGAAGAGGGAAAAACTATTCTTTTTCTATACTTTAATCATTTGATGAAAAAACAAAAAAAATGGTTAACTTATTTAAAAAAGGAAATAGCTGTTGGTGAAAAAAATGGAGAAGGCCTAAACCACAAAACAACATTTTTTTGATAGCTGAGGGTTTAAACAAATATAAGCACATTGCAAAATGATAGACACTACTTTGTTTAAGCGCTTGAACTACTCATTTTGGAATATTAGACACCTAATTTTTAAAACTCTATTTGACTTAGCTTGGAATGGTTATCAACTATTGTTTGACCATAAACAACAATCATTGGTGAATATCTAAACAACTGCATTTGAACAATTAAACCAACATAGCCCATGAGCAAACTAAAACGAACATTTTGGAAACTAATATTGAGCCTGCTAAAAATGAAATGGTATTTTACAACCGCATACACAATCAGATGCACCCTTTTCAATTTCGATGATGACAATATATGGCTAGACAACATGATAGTCTTAATTCTGTCTTATAAATAATCATTTGACTTAAAATAATCAGAATGAAACTAAGCAGCAACCACAGCCTCTGAAGTGGTTGTGACAGGAGAGGCAGCTGCTGCAGCAGTACTGGTTTTAGCATCTTTTGCAGGTTCTGCCACTGGTTGTGGAGAATGCTTCAGGTGGGGAGGTGTGTTCTGCTTCAGTTTCAAGAGTAATTGCCGCATCCTTGTAAGGTCAGTTGGTTTCCCAGGCTTGGGGCCTTGGACCACAAGAATAGACGGTTTCTTCTCTTCATCCTTTTTCCCTCTCTTCTTCTCTATGGCCGGTACTTCCTTAGGAATGAGATCTGCAATTGCTTTCCAATAATCCTTATCAGCCTCAGCATAGAACTTCTCCAGGTTGGCCACAAATAACTGACGTACAAGAAAGACACATGTAAGGAACAAACTACATACAACATTGCTCCAAGTTTAAGAGGTCAGAGCAGAACTAGAAGGCATGACTGAAGACAGTTTTATTTTCTAGTTGCAATTCAAAACTTACAATGCTGGGGATTTGACCAAAAGTAATAGGATGTAGGTCAGAAAGCCAAGTTAGCCAACTAACTTGGCTTGGGAAATTCTCTGGACCACCCAAGAATAATAAAGAAATGAGAAACCTCCTATTTTCAAATACTTTTAAACTGATGGTTTAATTTTCATCTTATCCCTCAAAAAGTGACTACTTCTAAATGAATCTATTCCAGAGGATGGTCATTTGGAAAAATGAATTCTGCAAATTACTTAACCAAACTTGATATCTGCTGACTGCTGATGCTTAACAGCTTAAGCCATTCTAGAATAATGTCTCCATCTCAAAGTATATGTTACAAATTCCCAGAAAAAGCACAAATGAGAACAAGCAAATATCACCCATTGTTTTGAAGTGCTGAGCATGGCATTACATGTTTTGTGCCCACACAATTACGTGATAAAAGAAACTATCGTTATTAAGAAAGGCAATATTTCAAAAGCAAAGAAATTAAATCTGAATAGTACCTTCTCCTTTTCCCTGTTACTGCTTTTGTTGTTTTCACAGGTTATCTCCCTCTTTTTATAAAACTCAACTTTATACTCCTCTGCTTCTTCAATTATTTGGCTTAATAACTCCTTTTCCCTCTTCTCCTTCTCCTCCAGGACAATTGCATTCTGCCTGAGAGTAACAATAGCACAATCTAAAACATAAACATCATCGAAAACCAAACCAAAATCGCAGGAACTCACAATTGTTGTAAAGGAAACAAAAATTTTCAATCTAGGACAACAAACAAAACCAAGCTATCCAACACCAACAGGCATCAAAATGTTAAAAGCCACAACTCAATTTTTGGATTCCCATCCATGAATTGATAGCATAAAACCAAGATACCGTAATAATTATATAAAAGCAAATCTAAAACAACAATGGCGCAATTCATATGAAATGAAAAGAGAAGAGAAGATACACTGATTCAACGATATGCCGGATTACACTCTATTCTACTACAAACCATACAATGAAAGGAAAGCCCAAAACTTTCAAAATTACCATCAAACTGCTTCCTCTCCAACCCAAAATTCAAAATTTTACTTTCTAATCTTCTCAAATTTCACTAGGAAACAAACATAAAAACTAACAAAAAACTAAATTCCAAACTCGAAATTTAAAAGATCTACCTCCTCCATTCTCTGATAGCAAACCCTTCCTCGGGCTCCATCTCAAATGGAGGCGGCAAGGTTGGGCCGTCCGATTCGCCGAATTCTCCATCAAATTCCACCTTGTTACTTTGGATTGACGGCTGCGACTCGAAGATATCGTTAGCAGAATCCTTGACCGAGCCAGAATCATTCGTGAAGGAGTCCAACCCATGTGATCCCCCGTAGCCCCCATCGCCGTCATCGTGTAGAACAGAGACGACAGATTCATCCCCCGGTTGAGTGAAGGAACCCGGAAATGCTGACATACTTCTGCTACGGACACCTCAAAGCAATGCAGTTCTGTCTCTGTGAACGAGAAACACGACACGCGCCTCTCAATTGCAGAGATCTATGATTATCGCCTGGTGCTCTAATGGGCTTATGGGCCCATTGCTCCCCATTCCAATTTATTTATTAAAATCAGAGTGTTATTGAGTTGGGGGTATCCATTTGTAGTCACTAATGAGGAATTTTGTTAGAAAAATTTATGAAATTTTGACTAATGGACCATTTTGATAGGGTTTTAAAGTTTTTAGACTAGTTTGGGATATGACTTCTAAAAAATTATTTAATATGAATGTGCACATCAAGTTAATACATTCTGGTCACCCTCACCCATAGAGGATGATAATTTGTAGTGATACCTTGATACTTGATAAGTAACATTGATAAGTAACATAGGAAAAAACCCTCAGGTTATCGTCCAAATTAAACTGGGATTGATACTTTACTTGATAAGTAATCAACCCATGGATGTAGAGATGACAATTACACGTCTATTCCCGTTAACTTTTGCCTTTATTGTTGGGCAGAAGGTGCAATTTAGCCCCTCTATTATAAGTGTTGTGGTAGATCAGCGCCTCTACAAAAGTAGTGCAAATAGACCCCTCTAGTAATCAAACCTCGTCAATCAACCCTTATGTTATAGATGGCGTAATAAGACATCATCTTTCTATTTGACTCTTTGGCTACATCATTAACAAACGATCATGTGGTGTTGTTTTGGACAAAAATCCCCTTCTTAGTTGAACTAGAGATGATATGGCAACTTTTTTTCATTTCTGTGATGTGGTCAATTGAAGTTTCAAAATTACCAAACAACCCTACTCTTCCTTTTTTTTCCATTCATCTTCTCTCTCCTCCTTTAACAATAGATCAACTATTGCTCTTCTTGAAAATTCAAGTTGAATTGCACCTTTTGCCCAACAAGCCTCGTATTAATTTCTTAGATTATCTTTAACAGAAGCAAAACTCCCATGCAAAAAAGAGCACAAACCCAGTAAACATACCCAACTCACATGAGAACAAATCCCACCACCACAATTTCAATTAAAGATCCTAGCTTGCTACATCTTCTTGATGCCAACAAGGAACCCACGTGCCCTTCAACCAATGATATAAGAGGAGGAGAAGAAGACCAATTGTTTTTGGGTACAAATCCAATGAGAAATAAGGATAAGCTTCTAGTTTTGCATTAGAAGGATTAGGGATTTCTTTTTATTAGAGTTTTTTTTTTCTTTTCTATTTGAAAAATTAAGGATTGTAATCCCTTTAAATGCCTTTAAATGCCATGCTAAGGAGAAAAAGATATTGATAGGTGGCGTTTAAGTCCAAATTGGTGCCACAACATCTTCTTTTAATGGAGCATTAAAGAGTTAGACAGTAAAATGATGTTTTATGACATCATTTATAACAAAAGAGTTGATTTGCAGAGTTTGATCACTAGAGGGGTTGATTTGCACTGCTTTTTAGTAGAGGGGTTGAATTGCACATTCTGCCTTATTGTTGCTCCTGTAGAGTTGAGGAGCTTAATTTGACATGAAATTTAATAGAGGGGCTTGATTGCCCCAAATGGCATAATTCAGTGGCCAATCTGATGTTTTCATTTTCTTTCTTTCTTTTTTTCACATTCAAAGAAAAAATAAACCAAAATTTTCAAATACATGATTTAAAAGTAATAAGTATGTATCTATTGTATACTTTTATTAATTATTAAAAAAATAAAAATTTATTAGTCCTATAACTAAAATCATTCATGTCACACGAAAATAAAATTAAGTTTGTATTTTTTATACAAATTAATATAAAAAATATACAGTAAATACCATCCAAAACCCAAAACCCAAAATCCCAAAATTATTTATGTTCCGTAAAAAAATTTTAAAAGAATCGTAACTGTCACTTACATAAAGAGAGTACTTCAAGTATCTGATGTACGGTTGGATTTCACCGGCAATTCAACGCTAACGCAAAATACAGATCGCAGATGGCGAGCCTGTGGCGGGCCGCGACAGCCCTGACGGAGAGGTCCAACGACTACGACGGCGTAGAATTCTGGTCCAATCCTGAGCGCACTGGCTGGCTTACCAAGCAGGGCGAGTACATCAAAACCTGGCGCCGCCGCTGGTTCGTTCTAAAACAGGGCAAGCTCTTCTGGTTCAAGGACTCCTCCGTCACCCGCGCCTCCCGTCCTCGCGGCGTAATTCCAGTTGCCTCCTGCCTCACCGTCAAAGGCGCCGAGGATATCCTCAACAAACAGTACGCGTTCGAGTTGTCCACGAGAACTGAGACCATGTATTTCATCGCCGATTCCGAGAAGGAGAAGGAGGATTGGATCAACTCCATCGGACGATCCATAGTACAGCACTCGAGATCGGTGACTGATTCGGAGATAGTTGATTATGATAGCAAGCGATGATGAGAATCGATAGGTGAGACTCGCTCTTGATCCGATGATGTAATTGAACACTTGTGCAATTTGTGTTTGTAAATCCTCTTTTGATATCGTTCTGTGTGTTTTTCTAAGAAGAATAAATCTCTCAGTTTGTGAGATATTAATCGTGTTGTGAATTAAATTTCTGTTTAATGAAGTATTAAGTGATAAATGAGCTCAATTCAAGATCTTCCATTTTAGCTTTTGCTCAGTTTTTCATTCATTCTTTCTTATTTGATCGATTGATGGTACTCTAGTTTTCTTTCTCCAACTACCTGATGTTCACAATGTGTTGGTATTATGGATTTTGAAGAATACATTTAAGAAGTTTGGGTATTAAAGTTTGTTAACAGAATTAATAGTTGGATTTTGCAAGGAG